GTAATTATTATAATTGTAAAAAAATTAGACATTTTTTTAAAAACTATTAAATATTGAGAAATAATCATAATAATAATAATAAATGTAATAATTATAAGTAGTTTAAATATTTTACGTATAACTATATTAATTAACTAAATCTTTTTACCCATATTATAAATAATATAGATATTGAAAAAATTTAGTAATAATTTTTGAGTTTATCATTTTTATAGTCTTTTAATAACAATTCTTTTTTTGTTAATAGTATACTCATTAAAAATTAATAGTTAACATAATAATAATTTATTTAAATACTATATAATTACACTTTTATTTATATACTGTTATACTTTAATTTTATCTAAAATCTAATTAAAAAAAAGTTGAAATACTTTGAAAATTCAAAGAAATTAATATTAGTATTACAAGTAAAATAAGAAGAATAGAAATAAAATCCTTTAAGAAAATTATTTCAGAACAAAATCCTTCAAGATAAACGCTTTAGAAACATTTCTCTTGATGAGGATCATTCCAAAAATGTTTTTTTCAATGAGAATCATTCTGAAAACATTTCTCTTGAAGGGAATCGTACTGAAAATGTTTCTCTCAAAAGAAATTGTCTAAAAATGTTTTTTTTTGCAGAGAAACATTTCAGAAATATTTTTTTTATAAAGAATTATTCTGGAAATATTTCTTTAGTAAAGAATCATTTCAGAAACATTTCTCTTGCAGAAAATCATTTCAGAAATATTTCTCTCAAAAGGAATTATTCTGGAAAAATTTTCTTAATGGAAAATATTTTTCTTGATGAAATTTCATTTCAAGATATTTAAAGTAAGCTGAATGAGCTGGTTTGCAAGTTAGCTTGACTTAGCTTGGCTTATTGATTTTTCTCCTAAGCTGAGCTGAGCAGAGCTAGAAAAAAATAGTTCAGCTCAAGCCAGTAATAAGTTAAGCTAAGCCAGCTTATATAGAGCTTTATATTTACCTAATATTATAGTATAATTTTGATTATTTTTTAAAGTTTATGATTTGAAAAATCTAACTTAATACTATAATAGCAACCTAATAGTATCTTAATATTACTGTAAAATTATTATAAAACTAATAAAAAGTCAGAAAGTTTCTATTAGTTAACTAATTTTAGATTATTTTTATATCAGTTTGAATGATAAATTATTATGTTTAAAGACTGGATAATACTCTTATAAGAGTGTTATCCAGTTCAGTTATAATGTTACCTAGTTATGAGTAAATTGTTACCTAGTTACTATTTTTACTGTTCTGTGATCATTTTATTACTTTATTGATATCTATTTATTTTTATTACTTTGTAGTCTTTTTATTGCTTTGTAGATATTTACTTGATTTTATTGCTCTATCTTCTTTTTATTTCCTTCTAGCTATCCGTTTATTTTTATTGCTCTGCAGTCTTTTTGTGACTATGATGCTAGGCTAGCATTGTTTGCTAAAAATTGTGTTATAGTCAGGTAGTACAGTCAAATCACATGACTTTATTTTAGTTAATTTCAGCATCCTTAGGTCATCCAAAATTATAGCTAATTGAATTATTGTAATTTTACTGCATTAAAAAAAAATCATGTATGTAGTGCACTCCCAGAACCTTTTTGTCACTTCCCTGTCACTTTCTCGCTACTTTTGAGGTTCTGACTTAAGGATCTAATAGTTAGAGAATTAGAAGTACTAAGATCAGCTTATGTAATTACTAGGAATTAGTGCTAAACTTGCTTGCAATCCTACCCTTATTTGATTTTTGGGTTAAGACACGAAGTGCTGAATTTGCAATCCATATATTTTCCTTCTTAATTGCCATCTCTTGATTATCAGATGAGACACAAAGTGCTGAATTTGCAATCCATCCATTTATTAAAGATGTATTGCAATCCATTCACCCACTTTTTATTGCTGATCAGGCACATGTGAAGTGCCAGTGTTGTGCCATTTTTACAATTCTGCCTTTTGTGATCCTTTTGATTGCTGAAGATGAGACACAAAATACTGAATTAGTTCAGGCTATATTGCTTTTATACCCTTTTTTTTATATATTCTCCTGAACCTTTCTGCCTTCCTAATTTCTTTCCTGTCTATTAGTAGTAGTATCCAAAAGCATAATTTCTTATTTATTTCTATATAATTTTACCTTTGAATACTACCAAATCTATACTCATATTTTCGCTTTTACCTTCTTAGAATTCTTTTTCATATGGTAATTACGAAGAGATACTTACTGCATTGGTTGCTTTTGAGTATTGATTTTGGGTATTACTTTTGGGTACTACTACATCAACTATTTTTGGATACTACTGCATTGACTACTTTTGGATACTACTACATTGACTACTTTTGGGTATATCTATATTGACTACTTTTAGATACTATCACATTGACTATTTTGGGTACTACTACATCAACTACATTTGGATACTACTACTGACCCAGTATTTTGCTAATAAGTATATTCGCTCAAAATTTTTATTTTGAAGATTTAGAAAATTTACATGTAATTTTATACTTAGTATTTCCATACATTGTATTATGTTACTTGCGTAAAAAAATGCTAAGCCTCGCCCTAAAATAATAAATGAAGCAACCAGGCTTTTTTCTGATTTAGCGGACCTTGACTATGAGTCTAGCTATAATAATTATATATATTTCCAATATTTGTCTAATAATAAAAATGATATCTTTCTTCTAGGTGCCTATCATTCTGAAGAGATTTATTTAAAATATATTATTTGAGTATCTGAAAAAGGTTTTACAGTAGTCAATCATCCATCTGAAGTTTATAGAATCCCTGATGCTCATGAATGTATTGATGGAATCTGTCTCTTTGCCTAATTCTGGATATTGATGCAAGGTAAAAGTCAAATCCAATGAACCCTGAGCTCCTTTTTTTAGATAAATATAAAATTACTCGCGAAGATTTATTATCCAGAATCTTAATTGCCTGTATTGATATTTTATATTTTGATTTAAACCATCTTGCAATATTAGATGCTTTGCCTTAGTCAGTTCATCTAATACTAATAAATGCAGTTAGCATATTGTATATAAATATGCATAGTTCGTTAACTACAGAGACCTTAGAGGGTTTGTGAAAAAAGTTGCTGATAGAATTGGAAAACCATATTTTGAATTTATTGACTTTGGGCTTTATAAATCACATTTTAGTCTTCAGCTTCTTAGATTGGCAAAAGAAGATAGAGTTAAAAGACCTGCAGTTTCTTCAATTAAACAAGGATATCGCAAGTTAGAAGATTATTTAGTTCAATCTAAATCTGATTATTCTGAATCTGACCACAGAACTTTTTTTCTGAAAAGCCAGAAAAGGATGAATTCTAATCTATTGAAGATGAAACTGCTTTAAGCAAGGGAGCTAGTCAAGTTATTGCAAAATATGAATAGCTTGAGATTGGTGATATTAGAAAAGGATTTGTTAACTTCTAAGTAAAGTCATATAAAGCATGTCCTATTTGCGGAATCAAACATGAAAGAGATTAATTATATGGCTTTCTTCGAAGTAACGGCCATTTTGTACTTAAATGTTATTGGCAAAATCAATATAAGCCAGATCATAAAGGACTAGCATTTGGAAAGGCATCAGGTATAATCAAGTTGAAAGAAAGAGCTAAATGGGAATTGAATGACAGGTTAATTAATATTGTAAAAAATCCACGTTTGCTCTCTGAATTGTCTGGAAAAAATATTAATATAAAAGAGATAGAAGAAGCTCCAGAAGCTTATCCAGACTTCTTAAGTTCTATATATAGTACAACTTTTATCCGTTCACTCATAGGTACTGGTAAAACAAAAGCTTTAAGAGAAATTCTTAACTCTTTAGCTGAAAATAGAGAAAATTTGCCTTGCTTTATCTGGGTTTCATATCACAAAACTCTTATCAATAAGACTAAAGCTAAAATTGAAATATTATAGAATTTAGGATTTAGCGCATGCTAATATCAAGAAGTTGAGGGTATTTTAACTATAAGTAATTGGAATATTATTATCATTTAGGTTGAAAATACACATTGTATTGAGCTTCATAGAAAATGTTTATATGTAGTTATTTTAGATAAAGTCAATGTAGTTATACGCTAAATGTCTAGTGGTATTCATATGTGAGAATCTGAAAATGCTATGCGAGATTTGCTAAATCAGATATTCATGTTGTGACTATAAACACTTTTGCGAATGACTCTACTATAGCTTTCTTAAAATAATATCAAGATAATGATATACAAATTTTCGATAATAAATATCAACTACATATAGGCGAAACTGTTAAGATTCTTTATGATTCAGATAAAGGTTCAGAGGCTATGAGAAGAGGTCTTAAGATGCTCTGAGAAGGCAAGCGTATTACTTTTGCAATAACATTATGTAAAAAAGCTTAAGCTTTAGCAAACTAAGCTTTCGTATTACAAAAATCAGATGGTTTACCTATTTTAACTCGTATTTATTTTAATTAAATGGATAGAATGCAACGACAAGAGGATTTCACTAATATTAATACTACCTGGAGTTCTCTTAATTACGTGATTTACACAAGTACTATAGAAGCTGGCATCTCCTTTGAAATTCTTAATCATTTTGACACTATTATAGGAATTAGTAATATTAAAACAGGAGTACATGTCAAAGCTTTTGCACAGATGCTTTATCAAATTCAGGATTGTTCATAACACATAATTTTTTTATATAATAGTCAGAAGTCCTTTAAAATATTTCAAGAGCCAAATCGTAGTCTTATTCATGCTGAACTTTCTACTTTAAGACCTATTGATTTATTAACAATAGTAAAAGGATACCGGAAATGAAATAAAATTGCTGATTATTATGCTCTTAATGTATTTCTAATAGTCGAAACATATATTAAGTCTGAATATCAGAGACACTTATCAGCAAAGTACTTTTCTGAAATTCTTTGCGGTCTTGTTTTTAGTATAGAAGCTTCACTTAAAATTATTTCTACAGAAGGTACTATAGCTAATAAAAAAATGGTTTCTAATATTATTAAGGCGGTTGAAGAAAATATCAAAGACTCTGGTATAAAATTAATAGTTAACACATCTGATATCACCTCAGATGATGCTGAAGTTCTTAAACAAATTCCCATCTGCTCGTTTACTGATAATATGATATTGCAATGACACTATTTATGAAGAATATATACTTCAAGAGATATTGGAGGTAAGGACAATAATTGGGACTGGAGCATGAATGATGTCAAATAAATTAATCTATGCAATATCAATTTTGTAAAAATTTAATAACTAAACTTTTACGATACTTTAGAAGACTGGCATATTTCTGAAGGTAAGGTTCAGATTCAATAAAAGTTTTAGAATAGTTAAAAACTATACAGTAAGAGGAATCGCATAATTTCTTAGATCCATCTTCAATTGATTTACAAAAGGCATATTTGTTTAAATAGTAGAAGGTGATACAGAAACTTTTTCAAATACTAGACTTTACTGGCATTAATGATATATATACTCTTTCAGGTAATATTATTTTAGAAACGTTTGCTCAATCATGTGAAAGATTTATGAAAATCTAAAATCAATCCTTATTGCTTTTTGGATTTAAATCTCATGCAAAGAAACACTAGATCTTAAATCAGCTATAAAAGCAATTAATGCAATTGCTAGTAATTGGTGCAAATATACTGTTAAAAGTGATAAAAAAAGAATAAGACCTAAAGGATAACAAGTTTGGCAATATTCATATCAAATTAATCGCCAGCCATATAATGATACTGATTTTGGAGATAAAGGTGCTCTAGAGCTTCTACCATACAGGCTGAAAACAGATAATGATATTCAGGAATTCTTTGACTCTATAAGATAGAAAAAATAATATTTTGGTCGGATTATTATTTAGCTAGATGTCTCGATTATGTCTGATTTCATTTTAATTTTTTTATCTTTACGTTAGGCATTTTTATAAATTCTTTTATGTATGCTACAGATTCTAGTATCAGAATATATTAGCTCATTACAGATAGAATATATTATTCTAAGAAAGGCATTATATGTCTAACGCATCCTAATTCACTCATGCATCCTTTCTCACAGATCGAACTATCTCTCTTGATGTTTGGCAGATAAAATGACTCATATGAGATAATTTTAATATTAATATTCTTAAAACTTCATCTTTACTTTTATTATAAATATTCAAAAATATGTCGCATATTATCTATATTAAATGCTAGCCAAAACCAGTCCTTTTAGGATCGTGTGAATTATATTATTATTTTTTCCTTCTTTTAACCCTCTGCTATATGGTATTCCGAAATCTATGATTGAGGAAATTTTTTGAATTGAATTTTTTCTTATATAATGTAACTAGATAACAGTTAATATTAATATAGCTACTAAAGTAACCACTCTAAAGGCTCGAAAACCCAAAACTAATAACTATACTGCTATCTTAGACTAGTTCTTAAAAAATATAACTTGATAGCTGACTTCACGCTAGAATAATTAAGCAAACATTCTTCTGAACTTGATACTTTGCTTCCTGATTGGATGGCCTGTAGATGTATTAAGGTAGCTCTTGCTAAACTTAAACATTCATTTAGTAAAGAAAAAATAGAGGCTTTTCTGTTAGATAAAAGAAAGGAAAAGCTCACCATAAAGGAAAAGGCAAAATACTGCGTTACAGCTGGTAGTACTATGGATATTTTCACCTATCATCTAGACTTAGATCCAAAAAATAAAAATGAAAATGAAACAGTTGCCAGTAGCTCACGTCAGTCAACATTTCATGTGAAGTTAGCAGAAAATGGTGTAGATCTCACAATTATTAAAGCATTTGCCAAAGATAAGAAACTTATTCAAGACTCTAACAAAATTCAGAAGAAACGAACTAAGAAACAAATGGCTAATCCAGATAGAATTCTAATATACTTTTTCTTAATAAGAGTGTCTAAAAGGCTTCAGAATATGGATGTATCTAAAATTTCTACTAGAGAGGATCTCGCAGATATGATAGTAATGTTGAGTATGAGATCTGCGGAAGTAAGATTTCTTCAGATTAATATCTATGAATCAGACACTTCGAACATTCTATCATAGTATAAAGAGGGCTATTCTTAGTACTATACTGGCTATTTAAAGAATAGAGAAGAAAAGAAGAAGAATCCTGATCCTTGACCATTTCTTTCTATGGAAAAGAATCCAGAATATGCAAGAGAATTGCTTATCTGAATTCAAAATGCAATTAAGGCTAAAAAGTTATCTGACCCTGTATTTACTGAAAGTGAAATACGTAATGCTTAGCTATTTAATGAATTCTTAAAACAAGAACCTTATAAAACTATACTTAAAAAATTAAGAGATTATGAAAGTAAACATGCTTCTAAAATTCATAGTGGTAAAAATCTAACTCCTTAGCATCTTAAACTGCTTTTGAGAATCACATTAAGACAAAAATCTGATCGTCTTGATATAAGTAATAATTATATTATAGGTGATATAAAATCAGAAAATTCTGACCCTGAAGATGAGTACAACTTAGACCCGAAATCAAAGTTTACAGAAAATGATGAAATATCTGATATTATCAATATATATAGCTAATAGCAATGCATCTTTGGCAAATTTTACTAGATCTATCACCTGCATAATTTTATTTTTTATTAAAACACAGTATATATTATTAATGACGCATTTAGATGTTATAAATTTACCAGAACTATTAGAACAGATTTTACATTTTTTACTGATTTGAATACTAATATATCGAATATAAAAATTTTATAGTAAGTCGATATGTAATCTGAAATAGATTTATTGAGGTGACATTTCATTGAGCTTGAGGCTAAGTACGTTAAGATTAAGGCGGAAAAAGTTGAGCTTAAGACCCAAAATGCTGAAATTCCTGAACTTAGAAAAAAGGTTGTTAAGATCGAGGCTGAGAACGTGAAATTGAGAATATTATTGAGAAGAATGCTAGGAATGATGCTGAGAATACTGAGCATAAGACCAAAATTGAGGAATTGGAAAAAAATAGTATAGGTACTTCAGCTAAGAATGCTGAACTTAAGGCTAGAGTTGTGAAATTGGAATAAGAGTCCAGACAGCCACAGAATGATTTCTCTCCTAAGGAACGTGTTAATATAACAAAGTTTGTAATAGTTCATTCACCTGTTTGTGAAATAAATGATGTGATACTAGAAGTGTGGTTATCTATAGATAATCCTGTATCTGTCAGCTCAAAGCCATCAGAGGATAAAAAGACAGATATTTTCTTGGATGAGATAAACAAGAAAAATGTTAGTAATAGTATAAGGTAGAGGAATAAGAAGAAGAAGCTTCAGTGTGAGTCATCTAAAAATCAAGCCCAAAACTTATCTAAAGTGAACATCTCTTCAGCATCTAAAGTTACACTAGAAGTTGTAACCCCTATAACCTTTGATCAGATTGGGTCACAAGATGCTGATTCTTTGTCTCCTTCCAGCTCTTCAAAAAACAATCATATTTTACACAATTCATCTCAGAAAAACTCTTCTCTACCTGTTATCCAAAAAGTACTATACAATTAAAAAGTTGAGCAAGGTGTAATTCAGGAGGTTATTTTATTTATTCAAAAGAAGCACTTGCCTCATCAATTAATACTTTCAAGTTCAATATTATAGTAGCTGATAGGGAAGGTTGGGATTTGGCTCAATTATTTTCTGATGCTGAAGACGCAGAAAGCAAAATGATAAAAGCTAAACAAAAAGAATATATTCACTGGTATGCTTATAGAAAATCATATGAAAATAAGGTTGCAGAAATTTACTCTAAAACTGATGTAGTCGAAAAAACTGCAAAGTTTCAAGTTTATACCATGATTAAAGTTTCTTTACCTAAAGTTTCAGATTTAAATCTATATAAGAAGACCCAAAGAGCTGGGAGAGTTTATAAACTGTTTGAAAAAATTATTGATTTCACAATTAATAAAGAAGTCAAGGGAATAGGTATTGACAAGGCTTATGGGATTTTATATGGTGTAAAAAGTATATCGAAATTAACTGATTCTCAAATCTTTAATATTATAGATCGGGTAATAAATAAAATACGTGACATCTTGATCACTGGTCAGGAATAAAATTATGTGATCAAAAAATCTGAAACTAGCGAAAAAATCTTGCCTGAAGATCCTGAAGAGAAATAAAAATATATCATTAGGTTGGTGCTAGAGAAGTTTCCTTATCTATCTTTAGATGATAGTAATGAACGTCATGACATATTTAATCTTGATAGTTTAGCATTCTGTCCAATATGTAAGAGAGACTATAAAGAAGAAGTTTATGGAATGATATAAGAAGTAAGTAGGGTATAGATGAATATTACAGTAAACAAACTTATCATATCAAATGCAAAGATTCTCTTAATTGTGAAATTTCAATAGTATTTATAAAAGCATAGAGGGTAGCAGAAGATATTTGGTAAAATTCTTGCTGAAGCAAAACCTAGAAGGAATCTGGTCTGAGTAGTTCAATTCAACTAGTTTAGAATAATGACCATCAGCTCAAAAGAATTATTTTTCTGATTGAAAGATATTTTAGCCTATAAAATTCTTTTGAGTTTTTTTTCTCATAATAGAAAAAGATCCTTTTCTAGAAAATTAGAAAGGATAATACTCCATAACTTATATACTTTGAAATAGTTAATATATTCATGAAAAGTTTCTCTATAATTAATACAATTGTCATATAGGTAAAAAAATAATATTATCATGAATACTGGGAATACTAATAAACTCAGCTTTTCTTTTTTCTGAATAATAAACTTAGATACAGTATTCCATTAGTGATTTACTCTGGCACAACTCCTATAAAGATCTTTCCTACTAAGAAAGGCAAAAATAATTTCAAGTAATTCAAGTAAAGCTAGGGTGTTATACATATTCATTGATAATAATTAAATTGGACAAATTATCTAATAATGGCTAAAAAAATCGAGAAATAATCAGTGCAAGATCTAAAAAATTAATCATGTATATTAAAATAGATATAATATATTGCAAACATAGTCCTGATCTTTTATATTTATTTCTGCGTAGTAAGTCACGCTGTATTAATAAAAGATTTTTTTTTGGTAAAGTTGCTATCAGAAGTAATGTGTCACATGAACTTTACCTCTGATCTCAGAAAAACTATTTATCTACATGAGATGCTAATCGTTGTAATTTGCAAGAGGGTAATGAATGACAAAATGTGATGTGTAATTGCTGATGAATGTTTCTCCTGCGAAATTTACAAGTGCTATAAAAGTGACTGTATGAATAATGTTGACAAGAAGTAATGGCAAAAGCTAGTAATATATCCATCATATCAGATTCAGAGCAAAGTAGTGTGTCATCGTCTTTTCTTACCAATCTTAGAATCCTTAGATATAAAATACTTAAAGTCTCAAAGAGAAAGATGTCAGAAATATTAATGTTTCAGAATTAGGATCATGTTTCAAATATAACGAGAAAATTTTTTCATTTTCCATTAGGGGAGGACCAGAAATAACGTTATTCTATAAGGGGGGGAGGGAAAGTGTCCATAATGATATTACACAAGTCCATTTTAAGAAAGAGATTTGTGCCAACCATCCGCATCATAAATTTACTACGTGTTGCGTTTAATTAAACTAATTTTAAACTGTTACAATTTAATGCTATATGTTTTAGTGTTACAATTTAATACTTTTTAGTATCACAACTGGTCATAAGGTTTTTTAGTGTTACAATTGGCTTTAAAAAAAATCATCTCGCTTTAATCTTTATTTTAAAAATGTAGGAATTTCACGCTTTATATTAAAAATGGAGGAATTTTTTTCTTACATTTGTTGCGTTGCGGGTTTCTTTTTATCCTTACGATGAAACAAACATATTTTCGAGAACACAAATACTCTAAGAGTTACCTTGTTTTGAAGCCACAAAATCTTTATGAACAGTATGTTAATGCTTTTGCGTTTTCGGTAATAGTAAAAAGCCATAATATTGCTTCTAACAAAAAGAAGCTCCAGCTTCAAGCACAAAGTAATTGGCGAGAAATCAAAAAAAACAGTAAAGATAATATTGAAAGCCTTATTTCTGAATTATTAAGGACACCTATTCAACCTTCCCCCTTTACTTTTTTTTCACAATCTTCACGGTATAATTCTATAGTTGAACCTTCAACATCCCTTCTGGAAACTCTTTCAAATATCCCTAATAATACACAACTTCCACCTAACGCATCAGCACAAAGACAATTGAATACTATTATTCAAAAAACCAAGGCTGAAATATATGAATATACCAGGTTATCACAAATAGCGACGTCACCGGAATTTCGCTCAAATTTTTTTTAAAGACTAAAAAGCTCGAGGAGACTATATTGATAGGGGAAGATAAGCTTAAGCGATTGAAAGGCAATGCGGTAGCTCAAAAATGAGCTCAGGAAAAAAAGCGGCAAATATTAAAAAAGGAAAATATTGTGGAAATATATGATACATCAGGTCGGCCGTCATATTTGATGAAGGATTTTAATCTCTTGAAAAAGATGCATAGCAGCATCGAGTTTGAAACTGCAGATCATAAATGACGTAAGGAGGTAATCAAAGTACGAACAATTAAACACCTCCGTAAAAAGTTAGAAGAGAACTATAATGTATATATGTCGAAATCTACGTTGCAAAATTATATGCAACCTCGATATCTGAGATCAAAGGAAGCATAACGACATCATCATCCTGCACAGATACGCTTGGCGGCTGTTGAGAGAAATGAAATGAATGATCATGCCGATGAACATTATTGCCTAGTATCAGTCAAAGGTGTAAAATCGTTTGCATCAGCTTACTCGCAAAATATTGTTCTAATTTCACAAAACGATAAGGCTAAGGTAAATTTAATCTATAATTTTATTAATTTGATAGTTGTATCTATGATGTAAATGATCATTAATCATTAATAAATAAATTTGAATTGTTTATTATTAGGTTCCCCTAGGTATTGCTGCGGTCGGAAAAACATTTAAAGCAATACAAACATCAAATGAATCTGTATCTGTTCCTGACCATGATTTTTTAGTGGGCTTTAAGCATAAATTGATACCATCCGTTTACTTGTTAATTAATCCTAGAAATACAAATGATTCTTTAAATTCTAGCAAAATGCGAATTTTTATTCGTCTTGAATACTTTTTGGGTACTTCATGTGAAACTCACATAATTGATCTTATGAAAATTACAGAAGAAGAGTCTTTTCGTGAGTTTACGCATTATGAAGATTCAGTGAAACCTATTTAGTGTCTACTAACAGATGGTAGACCTGATGAAAACCCTCGATTCCTTGCAAATATTATGAAATATTTGCTCATTTTTAAAAAGCTTGATTTAGATTACCTTACAGTGCGAACACATACGCTAGGGCAATCAGCATATAACCCAGTAGAATGAAGCATGTCATCATTATCTAGCAAGTTAGCAGGTATCGTATTGAATGCTTTTAATGATGGAAAACACCTTGGCAATGTGAATGGGCAAATTTCTATGATCAATGAGAAACTCGGCCGTAAAAACTTTAAACATACTGGTGAGCATCTTTGTGAACTTTGAAACTGTGATCCCATCAATGGACAACCAGTTGTTACTTCATATGTTGAAAACCATGATCATACTGTATTTTTGGATATTGAAGAAGGAACGTGAGATTGGATCGATCATCATTTGCAAATTTGTAAATATTCTCTCGATTTGCGAAAATGTGATGATCAGAGTTGTTGTGGACCACCGCAAACACCTGATGCTTTTGAACTACTATCACTAAATAACAGCTTTCTTCCTCCCATTATATAAGGACAAGACAAGTACTTTCTTAATCTATTGTACACATTGGAATACTTTAGTGATCAGCTTCCTGGTTATGATAAGCATTGCCCAAGCATTTCGCCTGAATTGTATCAAGAACTTGTGTGCCAAAAGTGTGAAAAGTATTTTCCAATGAAGGCATTTATGAAAATGCATGTCAAGACCATGCATTTAAGTGAAAGAGAAAAAATAGCACGGGTAACTCAGGACGGACAATCTATGATTCCAGTAGGAAATAATAATGTATTAAAAGAGTCAGCGGATTGTGAGAAAGAATCCAGATGTGTGGATCAATCTATTAGATCTATTAGCCAAAGAGATAAAATCACAACTATGCAACGAATAAGTGGTGGTAGGCGTAAAAGAGATAGAGTAAAGAATTCACAGCCTTGGAATCAGGATTATCTTACGTTTCAAATCAACTTTAGCGATATGTAATGATTCTTTGAAATAAAATTATTTGACTCAAGTTTTAAATAA